CGTGTATTACAATCAAATGATGCAAAAAATGCACTGTAACAGTGAAAATTATCTGTGAATATGAACGGGTTATACTAAAAATAAGCAGACATAATGTTTGTAATTTATTTAATCAGACATATATAAAGTTGTAGCCTCTGTCTGACTTTTCGTTATCGAACTCCTGCTAGGTTTTCCTTGGGTTTGGGAGACAAACCACCATAACTATGTACTTGGATAAGTATATTTCATTTTGATTAAATTAATTTTATATGAATGAAATTATTCTACTCTTCTTTACAATTATTTCTAGATAGAATGCGATTTAATAGAATTAAACCAATTATGGCAAATGTAATATATTATTTTCATTGCATTTTTAAAGTTTCATCTACAACTCTCAAAATGACGTCACCATCCGTCACAGCCATGTCATCGACGACAAATACTGATAAGCAAACAAATCTCCAAACGAGTAAGTATTTCTTTAATTCAATAAAAATCACAAAAGACATTAATTACTATTTCTATCTGAATATAATTCTTTGGATAAATCTCACAAGAACTTTGAATGTTTTTGTTTTTACTAGTCTTCAATTTACAAATCAGTTTTCTGTGTATTTGCTTCCACCATTAATATAAAAGAATAGAACAACAAATACAATTTTCAAAATAGAAAATAAAATATTTTTTGAAGAGAAATTTAAAAAAATTCAAACTCAGTTTTTAAAATGATTGTGCATACACGCACATGTTCATCAACGGAAGCAAGGCTTTCTTCATCAGTCATTGCTCATTCATCTATCATTGAAAATAATGTATTCCAAGTAAATAAAGCAAATATTTTATTCGACTGAAACTATCGAGAATTGAAAATGGTTGCAAAACTTTGGAAAGATTTTTTTGATTAACTTTCCTTCCTTTTCACCAAATAGTTTCAACCTGCTCAACCGGTCATGTAACCGAAAACAGCCAGTCAGAGAAGCCAAGGCATTACATAGAAGTGTTTTGGAATAGACTCTGCGAAGTGAAGATGCTTTCCAGTCATGTGGGTAAAACACAGTCACTTGTAACATAATGTGCTCGAGTGTTAACTAAGTACAAAATTTTGTAACATCCAATAGGCTTCCTTTTCAGGGTAGGAGAGAAGACATGCAACAAATTTCTACAGTGAGATTGTTCTCTTTCTAAAAAAATGATAAAACCTTCATTTAAGTTCTTCAAATTGTCCCCTAGCTGTCTTTATTCAAAATGTCTGGGAATATATGTGCATTGGTTTCAAATACAACAAGGGTCGCTTACATATGTTTGGTAACCTCAAGAGATTCATCTGAAACTCTTCAAAGTCTATTGCATTTCTATTGTTGAGAAAAAATGAAGTTTCGGCATTTTATATGCTTGAATGAATGTACGAGAAATTTTTGATAGTCATCTTTGATATTTGACTAATATTTTTTTTTATTTTGCAGTAGCGACGTGCTATTCGGGTTGGGTAAATATTGAAGGCTTATGTTATAGAATTGTCAACCGAAAAGAAGATGTCAACAACGCAAAAGACAGTTGTGGAAATGATACAATTGTTTCCACAAAAATATCAGATGAATTAGCAGACATGATCGGCTATGATGAAATTGTCTGGACGAATAGATCTGTAAGTGCCTACCTTAATGGTTGTCAAATTTTGTTGAATTCTGGGAAGATCGAAAAACTAAGAGTATATCGGAGAATTTTCTAAATTGGAATTAGACAAAAAGAAGACTTTCTAGTGTGCTATATCCAAGAGAAAAAAACATCTAGTTACTAAATTCAGTATAGGATTACAGTTGTAGGATATTCAGTGATGATCGAATACATTTCAAAAGGGATTGTCTGTGAGGCAAGGTTGTTGATTATTGTTTCACAGCAACGTATCTTTTAATATTTATACTTTGTATTAGCTTCGGTCTTTCCAGATAGAGAGATTTCTGTTTGAAAAGAAAATCTCTTTAGGGAAATGTTCGTAATGAAAAGTTCTTCCAAATAAATGATTCTTTATAATAAGCGTTTCTTCCAAATAAGCAATTATTCCTACTACTAATAATAATAACTCATAAGTAATTCTTCTTAATAAGCGACACTTCCTGTTTATTCAAACCTATATTTGTCATTATTTTTACTTTTTACTGGAGATGATTTCTCACATATTATTGGGAAAAAGTACGTGATAATAAATTTATAAAAAAACTATTTCACGAAATTCATTTTTGAAAACATGTCCAATCTGTAGTAAAAACCTAATTCTTATTTTCTGTTGTTTTTGTTTTAGGGACAACTCCAAGGTAAGGAATAATTTCAAATTTTTATACTTCACATAATCCTGTCAATATCTTCGTTACTCCCCTCTCTTCTTCCAATGGCTATTTTAGTCTTCACGTTGATGAGCGAGCTTGTCTTGTTACCTTTTAGTATGAGTTCTATTTTTCTGGGCAGACGCGGTATGCACACTCAGAGTATCAAGTATGTATTTTCTTTCCTGGGTTGATTGTCCCTTCATTAAGGGTGCTGTAGGTAGACGTTTTTTTTTGGGGGGGGGGAGGGGAGGGCGTGGCGTTATCCACCTGATAGGAATCCGAACATTCATGTAACTCCGAAAGATACTGTCCCTTCAGCATATCATTTCGTGGCTATTATACTGCCATTTTGTGAATAGTTTCTGTCCCGTGAAGTATTCTCCGGTTGGACCCCTCGATGCCATGATGAACGCTACTGTTACCGCAGTATGTCTGGACGATTCTATTCAGCTTATTTATATATTCAACTCTAGTGTGTGTCTGTCTTTCTGAACTTACTGTCTGAACCAAACTAGCAAATCCAACCTAAAAAAAAATCCAAATCAAAACTAAGTAGACCCTTCTCCATTAACGTGAGGGGTTTACGTTCCAAATTTCCAGAAGGGGGACTCCATTTTATTCTGTCCAAACCCGACCTTCTTTTACTATCTGAAACCGGTATCAACGCCTCAAGCACACTAGAGGAGCTCACAGTCCCGGGATGCTCACCTCTTATAGCAAAACACGTCTACCTAAATCGCCACGGCCACAGGTCGGAGCCTACATCAAGCCAGTGGAAAGTGTCATGTGTATGCTGAGTTTTCAAGAACGCAGGCGTGCGATTTCCCCCTTCCCATTACAGTCCCACCAGGTAGTTATTAATAGCCAGTCCCCCGGAGCCCTAGTGTGCAACTCATCAGTACAACTCTCTTTTTGATTTACATAAATGATCTGTTTAAGAATATACTCGAATCATGTATAAACATTTATGACGATGATGCGACTATATATGGACGCACCACTAAAACTTTTGATGCTCAGGTTTTGGCACAAACTACCATCTGTCGAACTCTCTGCCTCGAGCAGAGAGGAACCCGGACGAGGCTTTGTCAAAGGGCAAAGTTTCGTCCGGGGAGGTAGACAGGCCCTGAACCCATTTATGCGGGTTCTAAGGGAATATTAAGGAATAACCCTCCGTCCCAAAAATCCAAAAACTCATTCGCTGGTTTTAGGCTTTATAAGTTTCCAAAATATCAAGTGATCTCTCTTTGATTTTATATGGCATTTTGTAAATAGTGACATATCTATCTATCTATCTATCTATCTATACAATCTGTTCATTTTTTTCACTATCAAAATATGTCCATCTTTCATTCATTCATTCTTTCTTTTTCACTCTCGCTTTCTCTTTCTCTAACTAACATTTTGTCAACGTTTTGTTATTTTTAAAATTCAAGCAATTATTCCACGATGTTGTGTATATAAATGTGGAATCAGAAATTGTAGAATATTTAAAGTTTTCTCTTGCCACCTGATGTTTTTATGTTATACAATCTATTTAAATGTCTTTTTTATTCATTAATGGTCAAAATGGTTTTTATTTCTTACCGATTATCAAAATGGTTTTACTCAGTAAAATCTTGAAATGTTTATAACGTCTTTTTCAGCTTGTCAGATGAAGAATCTTTCCGTATGTACAACTTCTGGCAAATATAATTCTCTATGCTCCAGAGAAATGATAAATGGTAAATATATATATATAAAAAAAAACAAAGTATTATTTATTTACATTTTTTAATTCATTTGAATACCGGGTGTCCTATGAAACTTCATACTATGAAAAATGTTGCATTCTAAGTGGTTGTCTATCTTTTTGTGAAGCTGAGTTACTTTTGCGTGTTTCTAAAATCTGGAGGAGCTTGCATAGTTTCTTTGGTCGGAGAGGCGCCGAGGTACGTCTTTTATGTTTGAGCCGTTTCATTCGTTAGGATTTTAACAAATCAAGTCCGATGAAGTCATAACGAATGAAACGCGTTACAAATAAATTTTTGCCATTTTGTCTTACAGTTTCCTCAATATCTATATATATATATATATATATATATATATATATATATATATATATATGACACTATTTAGCGTAAGCGTGAAAATTAAAAAGCGAGAAATAATTAAGGCGAAAGAATCTATCACGAAAGACATACTGAGCGATATTATTTTTTTAACAAAGAAAAGTGGTAAAGATTTTATTTTCATTTGCAAAAAAAAAAAAGTTTTTTTTTTCGCAGAAGATAGGAAAATCGTAAGATCTCGGATCTGTCGGAATTAATTTATGCTATGACGCGGCGAATAAAAGATAGAAATCTGCCCATGGCAATAATGAAAATTTCAAATTAGTCAAGTGGCCTACCAAACGAAATGCTGGAAGATAATCGTAATCAGGTCAAAGATACGACCGAGAAAATAGATCAGCTGAGGTCACCCCAGAGAAAAAGGAAGTGAAGGGAGAGAAAAGGAAAGAATAAACCATTAACTATCTTTTCGGAGATGTCATTTGGTTTTGGGAAAAGGCACCTGTTTTATGTCTAGAGCTGGACATGACAAAGGTCTGTTGCCGGGACAGATCGCTGGCGACAGGGTGCGAAAACGTCCAGTTGACCACCCATTTGACGCTCATAATTGCATGTTTTGTCTTTTTTTTGTTCCTCGGCTATGAATTTGTTTGATAGTGTATCTGAAGACATCAATGCAATTGTCGCCCCTGACAGTGTATCTGAGGACATCAATGCAATTGTCGCCCCTGATAGTGTATCTGAGGACATCAATGCAATTTTCGCCCCTGATAGTATATCTGAGGACATCAATCCAATTGTCGCCCCTGATAGTGTATCTGAGGACATCAATGCAATTGTCGCCCCTGACAGTGTATCTGAGGACATCAATGCAATTGTCGCCCCTGACAGTATATCTGAGGACATCAATGCAATTGTCGCCCCTGACAGTGTATCTGAGGACATCAATGCAATTGTCGCCCCTGATAGTGTATCGGTTATAGTATTATCTCTCCAACAAAAGTTTTCGTAAATTATATCAGATATGAAGTCCTTTCATATGACGCAGAAGCTGAGATGGTGTTCTGTCACCTAACACAACATTATTAAAAAGCTCTCGAATTATATTTTCGTTGGATTATCCCAACCGCTATATTATGGCTGCCTTAAGTGTGTTATACGGGTCATTTTCAGGCATTATTGCAAGAAGATCTTCGACTTTATCCACGTTTTCTATCAGCAATTTTCTGCACTGCACCCGTATCGTGCTTTCCGTGTTGTTATTTTTCAGACGTTGAAGAGTGCCTGAAACGTCACAAACAATACTTGAACGTTTTGTGGGTTGTACGGAAGAACATTCAGGGCTAGCGAGGTTTCTGTCGGATTTGAAAATTTGCCAGTTATACTCTCGTTATACTGCTGTCAAAATGATAATCTCTTCTGCTTATATCGGAAAAGATACGCTCAATTTGCTGGCTTTTAAAGGTGTCATACATTTTGAGAAAGAATTGTTGCCATTTAAAAAAAATAATTGAATATAGAATTGGTTTTTTATTCAAAACCATATTTTCAAGATTTCGACATTTTGTCTTTTATAACAGAGACAATTTCAATGAAAATGCTGAGATATTTTTAATTTTTTTAATCAATTGTTTAGTATTATTAGACCACATAATAACTCATAAATTTTAACGAACGCCATTTCTGTTAATATCTACTACACATTTATTATTTGTTTCTTTCCATTTTTGTTCATTAAAATGCAGCAAATTCCAAAGCGAAAGTTAAAAAATACAGTATTATTTTATCTGAAATTATTGTATATTGTGTCCGTGTTTGTCTCAAATCATCATATTGTAAAAGTTATTAAAGGGTGAGAACTGTGTTTTTGTTGATTCAAGGGAAATAACTCATTTTAACTTGTTTCATTTAAAAAGTTGAAATAAGCGCATTGTTATTTTTTCTCTCGTGAATTGTAAAAATTACTTCGAAAATGAATAAAAAAATTAGGAATTTTAATTAACAGACTTAATTTATTTAAACCATTTATTTTTTCTTATTACTTTTACACAATGTTATCTAAAATGTTACAATTTTAAATTTATTTTATTCATTTACCAATGTTAATCGAAATTTACATATTTTTGTGCTTCTAATGCCAGAATATTACTTTATTTATTAATGTAAATATTTTTTATTTTAAAAAGTTATGATATGGTATGTGGCTCAGTTAGCTAATTTGATGTGAATTGTTAAACTGTCAAAATAAAATGTCATAAAAGATGGAAAATATATGCTAATAAGGAGTTTAAGTTTAGTTAAAAACAAAAAGATTTAGAAATAAATTATTTTCTTGTGGTGGGTGGGAGAGGAATTCATTTCAATAAGATTGTAGTTGGGTTCGGATTAGCGTCAGCGATGACTTGATGTACCTTTATCTATCAAAGAAATTCTACGAATGGAGAGAGAACAATGGCGAGGAAAAGTCCTAACAAAAGCGATTAAATCCAGTCAGGTGGCATATAAGCCAAGAAGATGACTTATTAAATATATAGAAAGAAAAAGTCTGTGTTATGGTCGATAGAAGCAATGTATGGTCTCACACCCAGAGGCCGTGAATTCTGGGCCACGTTAACGTGCAACTTTATAATCTACTGGGTGAGAGACAGTGAGGAGAGAGAGTGGAGTCGTTGTAATATACTGTCTTTGATTCAACTGACACTCCACCCCCACTCTCTCATCTCACGGTCTCTTACCCCACTGTCTCTTACTACCAGAATTTTTAAAAGTTTGCATGGAATAAAACGACCATGACCTCTGTAAGATGCCCTCTCTATATTTCAAATATTGGGACTTCGAAAATACACAAAATTAAATAAATAAAAACACATTTTCAAATTGAAAACATTTTTCAAATTTCCTCTACAGCTCTAATTTCATCATGTCTATAAACAGACACGTAAAGGCAGACGATGTCGCCTTCATGCCTACGTCGTAGTAAGAAAATCATTTGACTCTTCTGAACAAATGGGAATATGACAAAAATATTAGATTTTGGCTTTCGTTTTTTTGGCTTCAGACGAAAATGTCTCCTGACATAAGAACCAAAAAGCCACACAGAGCAAAGTAGACACGCGGGAGCTCACAGGGCGCATTCATTTTACCTAAACTAAGCCGAAGAAAGTTTTTCATTCATGGCCTCACAATATACAAAGGGATCGATGCAAGCAGGTAAAAATACATTGTCGAACACACACCGACTGCAGGTAAAGAAACTTCCTAAGTGAGTTACTTAGTGTTGCTATTGTACTGGCGTCTTATCCACTATACTAATTAAATGATCAACACCGGAAACTTGAGACACACATCTCAATTTGGAGTTGCTGGAATCCCACATCTGTTATATTAAATTATACTTTTAAAAAGCGATACAAATTGATGAAATGGCACAAATGTATATATATAAATATATATATATATATATATATATATATATATATATATATATATATATATATATATGAAATAAATAAAATAATATATTTAAAATCTTTTCTTGTCTCCTTCAAATCTCGGAGATAGTTCATGTTTTATTTGTTGCTATTAACTCTCTGTTTCTTAATATTGAAAATTTTACTTAAAAAGATTGCTAACTTTTAAAGGTTTATTTTCCAATATTACCCTGGTCTACTTTTAGTGGAAAGAAATATGACAAAATGGAAAAAGTCTTTGCGTGATGCGTTTCAGGATCTCGTCGGACTAAACTGATGTCAACATTTATAACCCTACACGAAGGAAATATGTTTTGGGTATATAATCTCTCATTTCAGTTCTTTTATTTTTTTTTTATGTTTCCATCACATTTGTTATTAAATATCACACATTGTGATAACAGAAGATCTGCCAAGGATGCTGTAACCTTGTTAGAATTTTCAGCGCCCACTTTGCTTTATGCGCATGTGTAGTGGCATCAGTGCAGACATCAGTTTAGTCAGAGGAAGTCCTAAAAGGCGAAACGCGTCACACGGAAACTTTGTCATACATTTCCCTCTAAAATTGTTCTTGAGAATTAAAAAAAAGTTAGGATGAAATGTTGATCAAATATGGATCGGAATCTGACAGAAAGATAAGATAAAGAACAAATAGGAAACTTAAATCAATCTAACACGCTTCAATTTTATTAAAACTTCGTCAGAGATTGAGAAACGAAGAAAATACAGAAATTTTACTATTTTCACTTTGGTTTTGTTTGGTCAATCATGTCATGACGTGTATTATATTAAGGCGTTGTAGTTTATTTGGCTTAGTGGATTTTGGAAGCTCTTTTTAAAGCGTTGTGGATGAAATGCCGTGATTAGTGAAGAAGTCTCAATGTTTTCTCTATATATTTATCTTCATTTTGGTATTCTGGGCTACATGTCCTAAGGGCACTGAGGTAGAATCCTATGATTAATCCTGATTTTAGTTTATGATTGTGGTGTGAATAGAAGTTGATTAGATCATTTGTGTTCGTGTGGTTACGATGAAAAAGAAAAACATAATTTCTAATGTGGCTACAAACCCCAAAATTGAGTTGAACATAGTATATACTTAGGTTATTATATATCTAATCAGAAATTAAATTATGTGCGTAAAGAAAAACTGTTGTAAAATTTATCAAAGACATATAAACTAAAAACAATGGATCACTAAACAATCTAAATCTCACTTTTATGTTTGATAACGACGCTCATATGTTAAGAATAATTTCAAATATGTTTCTCGTAGAAATGAGATCCAATTTTATTGTTTTCTTGCTGACAAATAGTCTCCAGATTGCTTAAATTATTGGCATTTCTCTGATGAAATCTAATTTTAAACTCCTTATATGGATTTTCTATAGGATTTAAGTGAGGTGTCTGACTTGACTATTTTAAAACCTTTATTTACATTTCGTTTAACCACTCTCTCATTTTAACTGCGATCTGATTAGGATCTTTATCATTCTGAAACAGCCAACTTTTAGTTTCTTAACATTTTGTAGATTGAACCAAATTCTTTTCCAATATTTGGCAAAGCTTCACCATCTGTTCATGATTCCTTCAGTGATATATTTTAGCGTTCCTATAATTAAAAAAATATTGAGAATGTATAGAGAAATGTGCAACTTTGAAATATTCTTTGCATTTTGTCTTTTGTGTGTAGAAAATCAAATGCAACTTATATATTTCGTTTATCTCAGGTTAAGAAAAAAAATTAAAATCTGCCATAAACTTAATATTTCATAATTTTTCATTTCCTATATTTACAGCGTCATTAACTTTGGTTGGTCCAATGACATTATACAGCGCTTCTTGGTTGATTCCCAACACGAAGAAATCTTTTGATATCATTAAGCAACATTTCTTAAATTGGTAAATATCGAGATGTTTTCTTCTTTTTTCAATTTCCTTTCATGTATAATTTTATCATTTTAAGCGAATTCACGTGCAATTCGAGAAACTGAACATTGATTTTATAATTTTATATTAGCATTTTATATTATTCTTGAAAGCTTCGTTATATATGCTACTTACTTAGCACCATATACAACGACACTAATAAAAAGAAATTGGGAAAATCAAATAGATAAATTAAACTAAACTCTTACTTCGTCCTCCTCTTATATGCAACCCTAACCCTAACCGCGTCACTCCACTCGATGACGTAATCGAGTTTTGTGTCCGTTCCTCATGGTCTTAGGCCGACGTGTTTACAATAGGGTTAACCCCATACTAATCAATACCGACATTGTTCCCAGCTGCTTGTTGGTCGCTGGCTGCTTCGATCCACACCCATTCTACCCACGTTGTGCTTTTGATCACAGAGCAGTGACAGATCGATTGTCGAAGTAATCGTAGAACTGGGTCGAACTGTGGTGAGAACTATATCAAGGGAAGAAATATCTTCACAATAAAAAGATCGCATTTATCCCAACAAGAGTCCTTTGTCTCCTATTTCTGCTTTCTTA